ACCCCTTACCAATTCACTACTTTTGCCTCACAGTAGAGAAAAGTATTGATTCTTTTTGGTTTTCTTTTTGTTTCTAACATATCACATAACACATTTTTTGTTGTTTTTGTATCTCTTGCAAGCCTCAGCTTGCTCTGAGCTTTAGCCTTTCTAAAATAGGTCCTATAGTTTCTGGAGACTACCGTGTACTCTTTGATTATGTGTCCTTCCTTCCATTTTTTGCAAATATCCACTCTTCTCCTCAGCATTTTAGATAGCTCTGCATGTATCCACACTTGGCCCTTTAGATTTTTCCCATTTTTTCTTAGTAGGAATGAAAATGTGATTGCACTTTAAGTATCTGTTTATAGGATACCCCATCCTTCCAGGACCCTTTTCTCCTTCAGGATTTAAAGCTATTAGATCCAATCTTTCCTCCTTTGGAATATATCAGAATCTACTCTTTTGAAGTCCAGTATACAGACCTGACTCCTTTCAATTCCTCCTGCTCTGGGAACAGAACATGGTCATGTTCCCCCAAACATGATCTATCTTTTGAGTATAGATTAAGTCCATGATAGCAGAGCCTCTTGTTCAGCTTCTGACAAATGAAGTTATTAGCAAGAAAGGACAGGAATTTGTTCAGCCTTTAACTATTACATTCTTTGGAGAAATCTCTCCTTGTCACTATGGCATGCACTCCTGTTTGAATAACTGTCCTCATCTGTAACTTTTGCTTGCCTTTGGGATCTATAATAAACTCAGTAACAGTAGTTTCTCTCTCCTTTTATTCCTTTTGAGTTTTTTTCCTTTTTAATAAGTTGTAGCCTTCCAGTGCTATGTGCCATCCCCCCACCAGGTTCCAGTGATTCTATCACATATTTGCCTTCCTTCCTGAGTTTGGCGCTCTAGTTCTTCCTGTTTATTTCCATACTCTGTATGGAAACATCTGAAGGTTTTGAGTGGCACCATATAGTTGTAGTTTCCTGTGACACTGTACCCCAGCTTAGCTGTAGGCGTTTCCCTTTGTGTTCTGCTTTATTGGCCCCAGTGTTTGACTGTATATTTGGTTCCAGACTTTTGCTATACTACTTTTTTGTTCCAGCTTAACCCACTCCTGTTGAGAGTGACAAGGTGATTGCCAAACATGTCTTTCCAATCTTTGTAAAATGTAGTCCGGGACTTATATATATAATAATATAGCACAGGCTGTTGTAGAATCCAAATCCTTCTCAGCAGCAGTACAGTCAAAATATCCCCAAGCATTCACATGTATATGCATTATCTTTGATCTAGCTATTAAGCCTATAAATGTAAATATGCAAAATTTAAATTATTTATTTTCTGTTTTAAAATATGTGAAGTGCCTTTGAATTTGTTTTTCTTGTGATTAGAAACAGGTTCAGTTTGGGCATTTGGACCCTGAATTTAGGTTGTGTGCTATTTGTCCTTGTTCATCTGTAATTTTTCATATCTTGCGGAATAACAAAATTTGGAATAGTAATAACTTTTAATTTAAGTTAAGCCACATATTTGCATACAATACATTTAATTAGAGTCTCTTGTTGAATTGCTTTTAATTTTAATTTCAATTTTAATTTCAATTTTAATTTCAATTTTAATTGTTTAATTGTCCTTTTAAAATATTTGGGTTAAAAGAAATTATAATTTTTTTGAAAACAAATACATTGTGCAGATTTAAATTCAATTAAAAGCTTCACTTAACTTTGACAATAAAATATTGGTTTAATAAACCAAGATTTAGATTTTTGCACATACCATATATACTCATGTATAAGCCCATTTGTGGATAAGCCGACCCTTGAATTTTTAACCCAAATACCATGAAAAATGTGTCACATGCAGATAAGCCTACCTTCATTTTCATGGTATTGGGGTTAAAAATTTGAGGATCTGTTTCTCTGCAGATGGCTTATATGCGACTATATACGGGAAATATAGGTAATTTTTAAAAGCATTACCGTATATATTCACAGATAAGCCCATCTGTAGATAAGCCAAACCTGATTTATGGGGTATATTTTGGCACCAAAAATTCTCAGCTTATCTGCGAGTATATATGCTAACCCATTTTGTCATGTTCTACTTTCCCTCTGCAAGAACAAAATAAATAAAGAAGCTGCATTCAATTATCACTTCCCATTATAGCTAGAACAAGATATCCTCCATTGAATCCATGTCCCTGTATTTTTTTCATATTTATATCATCCAGCCTAAATTTGTACCTAATATAAATATTAAATCAAAAAGGTGGGGTTTTTTTAAATCTATAAATTACTTATTAAATGTATGCAAGAAATAGAGTTATATGCCCCTCCACACTCACTAGTTGATAAAAGGTTACCTATTTTGGTTTATGCTGATAATGCCACTATTTTGTCATTGACCCAAAATGGTCTTAAGAGAGGATTTAAGGCTCTCACTGAACACTGTAGAGAGATGCAATTACTCATTAACTATCAAAAAAACAGAAGTCATGTTGTTTTCCAATAGTACCAGGAGCAAAAGGTGGCATATAGCCAACCATGACATAGAGCAAATTAAATGTTTTAAATATCTAAGTTGTTTTCAGTCTTCTAAAAGAAAAACTGCTCATGTTTAATATACCTCCCCTGTGATGCAAAGAAAGTGCTGCTGCAGCACTTTTATCAGACTTCATTAAGTGCATGGAAGCAACTTTATTCTTGTTGCCATCAAATGATTTGCTGCAGAATTGGTTACAGTTACTGTATGACATGCTCTTAGGTGCCAACCTCAAAAAGGACAATAAGATTTCTTAAGATGTTTTTTTTTTTTAAAAACCCTGGATATGTTCCTAATGAAGCCTCAAAACTAGAGCCAGGCTATTCAGAATTGAAGTCAAAGATTGGCTAGTCATTTTATTTGTATGGATAAGGCTTAACTTGGCTGCAGTTGGGTTGCTCTCATTCATATCAGTTGACAATTATATGTCTAAGTGATGGAGGATCTAAGTGATGGATTATATGTAATGTGCTCTTACAAGGCCTCGTGCCCAAACATCTATTATTCTTAGAATTTGAAAAGGCTAATGATGTTATCAAACAGTGGCTTTGAGTTTCAGAGCAATTTAAGTCAAAATTTAAGTCAAAATGTATTAACTTTATTAAATTGAAACTGATAAATTTATCAGTCTCTCAAAGAATCACAGAGATGCTTCCAGCTGTTTACTTATACTCACATATCCCAAGTATCATTGGGTATTCTTTAGTGCCCACTTCAGTGTTCTCTCCTCAGCATTTCTAGAGGGCAGATAGCATAATATCCTAGCCCCTCAGAGGTTATGCCCATGTGTACCAAGCAAGAGTTTGCCTCATTTGGTCCCTTATAACCTTCAGACATCAAATCAGGATCTGCACAGCATATCCAATTTATCCTGGAGTGGTAATGTACAACTGCGTATCAGCATACTTATGGTATCTCACCCCAAATCTATGGCTGACCTCTCCCAACAGTTTCACACAGTTGTTCAATAGTATGGGAGGGAAGGAGAGGGCCACGTCCTATGGCACCCTACATTGGAGTAACCATGGGCTCAACTATTTCTCCCTCAAAATTATTAATGAGAAATGCTCACTCAGATAAGACTGGAACCACTATAAAACAATACCCAATCCTCTTTCTTGCAGGTGGTCCAGGAGGACATAATAGTTGATGGTACTGAATACTGCCAAGAGCTCTGAAAGGATGGGAGGGTGCATGTTCTGACAAATGTCATCCCTCGGAGGAACCAGTGCAAATTATATCCCACTTTTGTGGACAGTATTGCAAAATGGCTGCTTGGGGAGCAAGTCAATTACAAAACACTGATGTACTAGAATGCTGCTTATTGCCCCCTCCACTTCCCACTTCCTGGCTACCTTTTCAAACTATGGCCATTAATTTACACAGTCAGGAAAGGAGTCAGTGGCAGATGCCAAGAAAAGTATCTGCAGGCAAAATGCTGTTGCATTAGCATTGTTGCATTCTTATAAACGTGACGCCTGTAGAAATACATTTTTTGTTTTATTGATTTCAAATCAATTTATTTTTGTTACTGAGTTTAATTACCCTGCACCTCACCTTGAAAATTATGACTGAAAGTGGAATATCTTTTAAAAAAAAGAATAAAAGCTATTTTTTGTTAATAATCTGTTTATAAATTATATTCCTTCAATTCCTAGAAGTTTGTAGTAGCATGCAGTACCATGCCTTAAAGTATCTCCAAATTAGCTACATTTTGAGTTCAGAAGACCATTACTCTTTACTATTAGAAATTCTTGAGTATGTGCACTTGCTACCTATGGAAAACAAAAATGTCATTATGACTGTATTCTTGGGTGAAAATAGGTAGGTAGATCATTCATTTTGAAATTCTAAGCAATCTAACAATGTACCACTGAACTGCACGAAACTTAGTTCTAAGCAAATATATTTAGATTAAACTGTTACGTCTTAAATCCCTACTGTAGTTCTTAAATTATAAGCTTTAGATATTATTTTAAAGTAATGTGTAAGATTGCTTTTAATATTGGCCAAATATCATTTGGTGAGATCCTGTGTGGCTAGACCAGGAGCAGGGAGAGGTTTTAGTCCTTCCTGAGGTACAGAAACCAGCTGGGCAATTTTAAGCCATTCATTCCTCTCAGCCCTAGACTGGGAAGTTGAAAAACATCTGTCTACTAACCCACACTGGACCTGCGAGGTAGATTATGGACCATAACTTCAATGAAGAGGCTTTCATCCTTTAGTAGATTGATTCAGCCAAAGGAGAAGTTGATGAAGTTGAATTTTTGGCTGGAACTCAAATTTCCAAAGAATAATAGTCAAAGTTGTGATCCTTTTTTTTTTTTTTGCTATTTTTATTGTGTTATTCTTTGATGAATAAAAGCATTAAAAATTCTGCTAGATTAAATTTTAAGAAGAAGTGTAGAGATGAATGAGGATAGTTTGTTCTTATGTTTGTAATTGTAATTGAGATGTGACTTGTGTTTAATTTACAGGAGTTGCTGGGTTTGTTTTGCTACTGATGAGGATGACAGAACAGCAGAATGGGTGAGACCATGCAGATGTAGAGGCTCTACAAAATGGGTTCACCAAACTTGTCTACAGCGTTGGGTGGACGAAAAACAGAGAGGAAACAGTACAGCTCGGGTTGCCTGTCCGCAGTGCAATGCAGAATACTTGATAGTATTTCCAAAGCTAGGTAAGATGCACATATTGACTGAAACAGGTTTTTCCCCCAAGATTTTAAGTGTGAGTCTCCTGTATTTGAAAATTTGGAAATGGTATGGGAAGGTTTAGGTTTTCCATTAACACTTAATATTTAAGTATATTACCCTACCTGAGATGATCAGTGTGGTTTATGGCATCACATCAATAATAATATCACACATAAAAACTGCCTAGAGTCACTATACAGGTGACTCTAGGTGGTTTTTATGTGTAAACTGCCTAGAGTCACCTGCATAGTGAGATGGGCAGTGTATAAATTTAATAAATAAACACATAAGGAAGAATAATTATTAGACAAGTCAGTAATAAAGTGGACGTAGTATAAAATGTTTGAAGTATAAAAGTTCAATGATACAGAGATGTATCTGTTTCCAGTCCATGTCAATATTATATGTGTTCACTTATAAATCACTTTGTTTCTATAATATGGATTTATGCTGAAGAACAATTCACACAAAAATGTGCCAGTTTTAATACATGTAAAATTATTATTATTATAATTATCCCGAATCAATCCACTGCAGAAAGTCCTCTTCGTTGAAGGTTATGCATCATAATTTACCATACTAGTCACATGCAAGTTGGTAGGTAGATATTTTTCAACTTTCCAGTCTAGGGCTAAGATGGAATAACTGGCTCAGATCACAGTCCGCTTCCATGCCTAAGGAAGACTAGAAACTGAGTTTCTCTGCTCTTAGTCCAGCAGCTTAAACACTACCCTCATCAGGTCTCTTTTTGTAAAATACACATTGTTAATTTTTTGTAAATATTTGCTATTTATAAAGCTCAGAACTCTGTTGAAGATGCCAATATTAGAAAATAAATGAGCTCTATTTTGCGCATTAGGGCAGGATGTACAAATTAAAATGCAGCTGAATAAAATGTTGAAGCATTCTTCACAAAAGTCATAACAGACTCCAAGGAAATATGCATAAGTCAGTATGACCAATCCACTTTCATACAGTCTTCACTATTTAAAACCAGCACAGTTGTATCTTTACCTGTAGTACTGCATAGCATTTCTGAGTTACATTGCCTTAAATAAAACCTATTCTGAATAGGTTTTACAGTGACCTATTCTATTTAGCTTATTAAAAAGGCTGGAAATATTGGTGTATTTTTGGTGAGAAAATGTAAGGATTTTGCTCAGCCTGATTAGATGATTTTAATTTAAGAGAGAAATAGTTTAAGATTGGATTTTAAGTAAAATATTGTGTGAAAATATATTTATATTAAAATATTGAAAAAAAATTTTTATAGCTTCATCAGGTTGCAAAGTTTTTGTTTAAATACCCTTTTGAAGAAATTTCCATTGTAACATTTTATCAGCAGAGGGAATACAAGTAGTCCTCATTTAATGACTACAATAGGGACCAGAAAATTGGTTGTTAAGTGGGACAGTCGTTAAACGAGTCACCACATGACCTGACCTGATTTTACAACCATTTTTTACAACAGTTATTAAGTGAATCACCATGGTCATTAAGCGAATCGCATTGTTAAACAAATCCAGCTTCTCCAATGGATGTTTTTTGCCGGAATTTGCAAAATGTCCATTGGAGAAGCTTGATTCATTTAATGACCACATGATTCATTTAACGGCTGCAGTGATTCACTTAACAACTCGTAAAAAAGGTCACAAATCTCAATCAAGTGACTGCAGGAATGGTGCAACGGTTTGCGTTGGTCATAAGCGCAAGTACAGGTTGTAAAGCACTTTTTCTAAGCCCATCATAACTTTGAGCCATCATTAAACAAACTGTTGTTAAGTGAGGACTACCTGTAAATGAAGAAAATGTCCACAAAACATCATCACAAAATGCCACAACTTATGTCTTTGCATCTGGCATCAGGATTCAAATATGTAACAGTGGGATTTCCTTCATGATATAACATTTTGGCATTTGGGCTTGCTGCAGACACAGCTGTGCTTTCTTTTTAGATTTAAACTTGGAAAAATAATGCTAAGCTGTTTCACATGTACGAGAGAGTTTCCTTCTACTTTATATACAGCTTTGGATGCTCACATTATTGGCAAAACAATTTATGGTCTCCAAAAAGCTTGATTTTCAATATAGTGGTAGAAGCTGCAGTTTGAGGGGAAATTGAAGATCTCCTGCATTTATACAGTGTGTTGTTTCTGTGTGAATTTCACTCAGAGTCATCGCATATTTTCAGACCAATGAATCCAGGTATAATATCTGTATACATTTTCTAGCTAATTTTGTGTCAGTGCTCTTTTTATTATAGGAGCTACTTTAATATCTGTTAAAGAATCTGTATATTCTTTAATATTTGTAGGGGATTGCAGTTGTGAATATGGAGGGCACTTCTACACTAAGAGCATTTTCAACTCTCCCCCAGTCCAAAGCTGTATATAAACACTTCCTTGGAAACAGTATCAGAATGGCCCACAATCAGTTTCACATGCCTGTTCAAAGAAAGGTTGATCTGGGTGATATTCCCTCTACTTGACTGAAGAGGGTGCATAAAAAATGCCAATTCTGTGCCATCTCCTTCTTGCTCATTTCACTATTTGCGGTGGGAGAAAAAACTAAATTAGCTACTATTGGCTAAACCCAGGTGCAAAGGCACTGAGGTGCTATTAGCTGACTTGGCAGCATTGGAGGAGAGTTACTGCTAATGAGAAAATTGCCTACACCTGAGCCCCACAGAATAAAGTGTGGCCAGTTGCAAAATGGACAAAGAGGAAAAAAAACAGTGGTGTGGCACCAGTAGCAAAGCCATATGTGGAAGTGCCATACGTTAAGAACAGTTCCTAGTTGTGATAAGGGCAAAAATAAAATTGAGAAAAACTGTTGTAGAGCAACATCATATATTAACTTGTTTTTCAGATCATGATGCAAGAAGGTAGGTCACCAGCTTAGTGTTTTCTGTTTCTGCATTTTCAGATTAAATTGTTTAAGAACATGTGTATTACAGATATACCATTAGCTATTTAGAAGGACATAATAATGGATTAAAAGCATAGATGTATTATCATACTTCTGCAGAAAGAAATTATTCAATTATAAAATTAACTACTAATAAAACATAATTTTCATTTGCCAATTACTCCTCTGCTACATACTTTCTCAGCTTATGACAGTTGCTACAGAATCTTATTTCTTCTTTACATTATAGGTCCAGTTGTTTATGTCTTGGACTTAGCAGATCGTCTTATCTCAAAAGCCTGTCCATTTGCTGCAGCTGGAATAATGGTGGGCTCTATCTACTGGACAGCTGTCACTTATGGAGCTGTAACAGTGATGCAGGTTCAGATAAACTTTCTAAATGCTAATTATTGTAACTGAGCTGGAAACTGCTAGAGATTTGCTGAAGAAACCCTTGGGGGGCAGGTAAAAAGAGAATTCTAAGGCAGGATTGGAAAACCCAGTTTATTACACCCATATGGAGTTTTGCTCCTTTTTAGCCTCTTTATATTTGTCATTATGATTCTGTTACTTTGGTATCTTTAGCAACTGGTAAAGGCATTTATGCCAGAGGAAGTGGCAGCACCTCACTGATCTTGGCTGATCTCAACAACAAAAAAATCAAAATGTTAATTTCCGGATATGAGACAACAATAAAATCCATGTATTGTCATTTACCGTTAGATCTTAAAAGGTTCTTTAACCTTATCCAGCTGATTAGAATAATGCTGTCATGTTCTGTTGTAATCAGACTCTCTTTACCACACACTGATGACACATTTATTATAATATATCAGTAACATTTTACAGTATAACCATTTCATTGGTTATTTGCTACTAGCCAGTCAGGGCGAATAAAAAGTGTTAACACCATTTAATGTTCAGCTAGTGTTTGATCATTGCAGGTTGAATCACACTTTTAACAACTGAGTTATTATCAGACCAGACAAAGGTCCCTGTAATCTGGGAGTTTGTTGTCTGCAGTATTCAATGATAACTATGAAAAACTAACAACATATGAAGCTGATGGATGTTCTTATATTGCTTCAAAGCTTCTTGTGGCATATAGTGATTATAAATAAAAGTACTTTGAAATATTTATTCAAAGACACTATAAAAAGTTATATGAAATTGTGCATATAACTTAGATACAAAAGTCTTTTTTTTTAATTGGATAATGACTATGATTTCTTGCTAAGGCAAAACATAATCTGAAATTTAAGATGCTTAAATTACCATGTCCCCAGTTTATTTTTAATTGTGCCAAAATATAGCAATTTTTTCCTTTAAAAAACAGCTGGTATAATATTGTACCTGAGCATTAAAAAAGTTATGTAGGCATCATCTTACAGAGAATACAGTAAACCCTAAAGTTGTGCTAATATTATCTCCACTATTGCAAATTGGGTCCTGATGTTCAGAGAGATTGCTTGGTTAGGTGAAGCAAGGTCTGACTGATCTTTTAACTTGTAGCTTAATTTTCTAACTGTTATAGCAGTTCTCAGTCTTACCACTCATTTTCCCATTATTTATTGTGTTTACATCTCACCTTTTCTCTGAGAGCACCAAGCAGTTGGGCTCAGAGTTAATGATTGACTCCATTACTGACTCCAGTGAGCTCCATGGATGAGTAAGGATCAAACCACAGTTTCCACAATCCATATCTAGTCAATAGCACTGGTATCAAAATCTATAGTTGAGATGCTTTATTGAGGTTTATAGGAAAAAATTACAGTGGGGCAAAAAAGTATTTAGTCAGCCACCAATTGTGCAAGTTCTCCCACTTAAAAAGATGAGAGAGGCCTGTAATTTTCATCATAGGACGTTTTGGTCTAAACTCAACTTATTGAGGTTTATAGGAAAAAATTACAGTGGGGCAAAAAAGTATTTAGTCAGCCACCAATTGTGCAAGTTCTCTTATTGAGGTTTATAGGAAAAAATTACAGTGGGGCAAAAAAGTATTTAGTCAGCCACCAATTGTGCAAGTTCTCTTATTGAGGTTTATAGGAAAAAATTACAGTGGGGCAAAAAAGTATTTAGTCAGCCACCAATTGTGCAAGTTCTCTTATTGAGGTTTATAGGAAAAAATTACAGTGGGGCAAAAAAGTATTTAGTCAGCCACCAATTGTGCAAGTTCTCTTATTGAGGTTTATAGGAAAAAATTACAGTGGGGCAAAAAAGTATTTAGTCAGCCACCAATTGTGCAAGTTCTCTTATTGAGGTTTATAGGAAAAAATTACAGTGGGGCAAAAAAGTATTTAGTCAGCCACCAATTGTGCAAGTTCTCTTATTGAGGTTTATAGGAAAAAATTACAGTGGGGCAAAAAAGTATTTAGTCAGCCACCAATTGTGCAAGTTCTCTTATTGAGGTTTATAGGAAAAAATTACAGTGGGGCAAAAAAGTATTTAGTCAGCCACCAATTGTGCAAGTTCTCTTATTGAGGTTTATAGGAAAAAATTACAGTGGGGCAAAAAAGTATTTAGTCAGCCACCAATTGTGCAAGTTCTCCTATGATGAAAATTACAGGCCTCTCTCATCTTTTTAAGTGGGAGAACTTGCACAATTGGTGGCTGACTAAATACTTTTTTGCCCCACTGTATTTTTAAAGTGCCCTGTATTTTAGTCGTACCTGAATCTCACTTTTTTCTAAGGTAGCAGTCCTAGTGGAACATAGTGGAGTCCTTTCCTCAAAGTCACAGCAGCTGTGCTCAGTCACTCAAAGAAAAAGCAGGGGGTCCCAGATTACCATTTAAGAACTCAAACCATTAGTTTAATGTCTTGCAAGACTGCCAAGAGCCAGCATGCTTAGTGAATAGTGGTGACATGTAAACCTGTGTTCTAGATGCTGCTGTGTCATAAGCGTTCCTGGATGACTTATAGGACAGCTGTATTTTTTTTTTTCAGCCCAGTCTTCTTTCCAATTTTTTTATTTTAAAAACAGCATGATTGTCAGCGCATGCTGATCTGAGCTATATATAGAGAGAAGTGGAATTAAAAATTTAGGAGGAGGAGATCAGGCTTGAATCAAGCTTTCAAACTTTTTAAAAATAAAACTGCAGTGACTACCATACTTTTTCAGTCTCTGAGGGGAAAGAGAAGTGAGGCAAAGACAACTGACTTGCATTGAGCTTTGACTGCCAGTTTTAAGTACCTTTTCATGCAGCTCTTCACTTCACGTAAGCCTTAACACAAACACTACACCTACTGACATGTGTCCAGTGCATTTCAGCTATAATTTTATTTATGAAACTTAAATACTGCCTAGAGCCAGTTTGGTGTAGTAGTTAAGGCACCAGGCTAGAAACTGGGACACTGAGAGTTCTAGTCCTGCCTTAGGCACAAAGGCAGCTGGGTGACCTTGAGCCAGTCGCTCTCTCTCACCCCTAGGAAGAAGGAGGCCAGGGCAAACCACTTCTGAAAAAAAAACCTTGCCAAGAAAACTGCAGGGACTTGTCCAGGCAGTTGCCAGGAGTCAGCAGTGACTCAAAGGCACAAAAACAAATACTCCCTCAGCCTAGTAGTACTCTAGGCAGTTTATAATATCTATACAATTATATTAGTTTTCAGTTCTTTATGAATGATTATTCACCCCTATAAATAGAGTAATATATACTATTAGTGATTTTTTTAAAGTTCTGCTTTATACTGAGGTTTGTTCTTGATATATTAACTTAGAAACGCCATTCTTGTTTAGCAGCTACACTTCTTTCATTTCAGTTCTGTCACTTTCAGATTGATTTACATCTTGTTAAAAAAATAATATGTCAAATTTCAGTTTCAAGATATTTTTGTGCTGCCAACACAGCTTATTAAGATGATATTGCAATAGATTTGAAACATACATCAGAAGAAATGAATTTTTTACTTTTTTTAAAAAAAGATAAAAATATTGGTCTTAAGTGGTCCTAAATAAAATTTATCCAGCCATCGATTTCCAGTTTTCCTGTCCTTAGTGCTCTGACAGGCTGTGGTTACTTTCTCTGCCCAGGATAGCCTTCTTGTCCCAGTTTAAGAGTGTGGTACAGTGCTACTTATATTCCCTGGAGGTGATCAGGGTATTTTCCAGCTCTTCTGCAATGTCTTCTAAACAAAATTGTTCAATTGAAGCTATTGTTTTTGCATAATTGAAAAAGGCCAGATTGGGTTATTTTTTTAGCTGTGGCACTTAATATTACCCATAGATTTCAGATGGGTGCCAGTAGTAATTTCTTTTAATTCAGAAAGTTAAAGCATTTCATTAGAGCAGTTTCTACTATACTTGAACTAAGATATGTGAAGGAAAAAAGTCTTCATCTGATAAAATTAAGAGCTAGTGTTTTATCTGAATTAGAGTAGATGGCTGTAGATGCCATTTAAATTGTAAGTAATTGTCTTCCTAAATGAGCTTTAAAGGATTCAGCCATGGAGTTGTTGATAAATTGTACCACATAAATAACACCTACACTTGATAAAGATTCTTTGAGTGATCCTTTTTAAAATGTTTATGTGTTAATGCAAATAAGGTGCTTTGCTCAATGTAGTAATGTGCAGGTTTGTTTTGGCTGTTGTTTTGGTCAGGTTGTGGGTCATAAAGAGGGCCTTGATGTCATGGAGAGAGCAGATCCATTATTCCTTTTAATTGGACTTCCCACCATCCCAGTTATGCTTATATTGGGAAAGATGATCCGCTGGGAAGACTATGTGCTTAGATTGTGGCGAAAATATTCTAACAAACTGCAGATACTGAACAGTATATTTCCAGGTAATGCAACAAAATATTAATATCTAGGCTGGGCTTGGTTTCAGTGAGGAAGAATGAAATGGTATAGCAAATTTCTCCTTCTTTAAGGAAGAGAGCCTATCTAACATATTTTTGGGGGTTCTGGTTGAATTCTATCTCAGTTGAAAGAACCAAAATGTAAAGAATAAACTTACTTTGTATGGCATTATTAATAATCATACATTATTTTAATGGGATTTAGTGCAAAAAAAATGTAATGCAAAGAATCCTGAATGTGAATACAATTAAAATGCTACATTGAAAAGTTTGTTGTGTAGAAATGTGTAACATACATGATTTAGGATATTCTAATATTTGGTTAGCAATGGCATTTTTCTTCAGGGATTGGATGTCCTGTTCCTCGTATTCCAGCTGAGGCCAACCCTTTAGCAGATCATGTCTCTGCTACTCGTATTCTGTGTGGAGCTCTTGTCTTTCCCACAATTGCTACAATCGTGGGAAAATTGATGTTCAGCAGTGTTAATTCTAATCTTCAAAGAACAATTTTGGTAAGATGAAGTTTCTTTATAGAAATAAACCTATAAGATTATAGAAACTTTATTTCTAACCATTTGTCATCTCTTTACATAATTGTGTTTTTATCCTTCTGCTAAATAACATGCTCTATAATGAGCATGTAAATTCTCATTTTGAATCTGTAAAGAACTGTGTGTAAATATTAAATATGCATTCAAATTCGCAGATATCATGTGGAGGTTGTTCTGTTCTGTTCATTTAGAGTTCCATTGAAACATACAATTTGACCAGGCAGGGGTGCCTAAATTTTGCATACCAGTGTAATAGGCTGGGTTCATATAACATGCTACGCCTTAACTTCATTTGATGAAACACAATTGCTATTTCACAAACACACTATGCCTATATAATAAATAGCTGATTTCCCATGACTATAAACTATTGAATACAGCCTTACCTTCAGGTGTTTTGTGAATCCACTTGTATAGTATTTTGGAATATAGCCTGCTGCATAAGATGTGTTTGTGTGTCAGATCAGGATTTCCTCATGTTACAAAGCACTGTTTCTCAAACCTAATCAATGATTTCATAATGAAGTCAATACCGAACCCTGAGACTTGCCTTACTCATAGCTGAGTTTCTCCCATACCTAGAAATTCTGTAATTGTGTAATTACATGATTTATTGCAGGGATGCGAGATTTCTAGGCCATGGATTGGATATGGTCCAGTGGGCTTCCATCCAGGTTCTTTCCCTGTGATTGCACCCATTTGTCCCCACACCTCTGTCATGTGCACATGAGCAAGAAGAGGCTGGAAGTTCCCTAATCCATATGCAGCAGGAGGCTGGCAATGATTGTGTTCTTGTGGAAAGGCAGATGAACACAAGTGGCTCTTAAGTGGTTTTGATCATGGCTTTTGTGTTGCAATTATACTTTTTGAGAGAGTTTTATTTGGATGTTATTGTTTTTGGTTTTGGATTATATGGGGATGCTTATGTATTTGTAAGCTGTAGGATGAATAAATATGGGATAGACATTTTGTAAATAAATAAGATGGAGGAGTAAAAATAGGAACCCTTGTTTCCAAATCCAAGATTTGGCCTGCTGAGGTTAACAAGGAAAACTAGCTCCTTGAACTAGATGCAGTTTCCTACTCCTAATTTATAGCTTTGACTAAACAATAGATCGGTAAGTTAGTTGATACAGAGTGGGCATCTAGAACCAAGGCTGAGGCTCACAGATTAGTAAGTGTCTTCTAGACCATAGTGGCTGTGGCTGTGTGGCCTCAAGGTTCCAAATACTTTACGTGAATGCATTAAGTTACAGGAGCAAATGTTCCTATTATATGCTGCTTGTTACCACTTAAGTCATTGTATTCAAAAATTATTCTCTTATGTAATTGCTTTTTCATCAAAGTGAATTAAGCCAAGGCTGAATGCTAGCTAGCTATGGATATCAAGGTTATATGAATTAATTAGAAATATGATATCCAAAATTATTATGTAAGATAATTATAATTTCATTACTGCTACTGGCAAATAAAGGACAGTTTTAAATTCAAGTATACACTGTAAGGGCATTTTGGGAATTTGGGACTGAAAATATGTTATTCAAAACATAGCAGATGAGGAACAAATGGACATTTCACCCATATCTATTCAATGAGGCCTCAGTCCATCAGTTAGGGAATCTGCGAGAAAGAAATTTGAACCACTCATAGAGAACCCTCATCAATAAATTAGGAACACAGTTTTCTTACTTAGTTTCCAAGATTCTGTAATCTAATCCCTTCTTGGCATTAAATCTTATTAATAAGATTGTGAATCTTGCTTCCTTGGTGCTGTTAGGAGTTTGACACACATGGAGCTTGATGGTGTAGAGAAACGCAGCACTTGCCACTGAGAAACTTGGGGAGGACAGCTGCTGAACAGTTTGGCTATCTGGGATTATGAATACTAGTTACTTTTCTCACTGTTTAGTTTAGGAAAAGGTGGAAACAGGTGTGAATGGAGGAACATATGCTTGTTTGAGTTGGATGTGCCTAAATTTACGCTCTGAAGTAGAGGAATTTTGTCAAAGGTTTAACCCAAAAGGTGGGATTAAGAGAGCGCAAGATGAGTTGCATCACTTAGGAGGCAGCAAAGGGAAGAAATGGCTGAGTCCTTTGAGGGGCAGGCAGTGACGGAGCTTTTGGGATATAAAATCTGAGATTAGTGGGGAAACAAGGCCTTCAGATTTAAGGTTGAATATTGAGTATTCAGAATACAAATCTGGGAGCAGAGTGTTATGAAAAGATGAGACAGGAGGAGACAACATTTGAGAGTGGATGAAGATACTCAATAAACTATTTGATGAGGTGACAAAAGAACGGCTTTTAGTTTTTTGCACCACTGTACTGGATGAAGTATCTTTAGTTTAGCTATAGATGGAAAATGGAACTTAAAAGGAAAGTATAAAAAATAAGTACATTTTATTATGTTGTTATTCAGCAAAATGGATGGTAACTTTTGGAGAAGAAAGATTTGAAATAAAAGTTGAAATAGCTGTTGGACATACTGATTTTGAGGGAGCGCTGAATTATCAAGCAGGGCAATCAGAGAGGGAATTGAAAATGTGAGGCGAGAAAATGAGATTGTGGGGGCAGTTACATGAATGAAGATGATACCAAAAATTATAGCATAATGTTACTCAGGGATTATTGTTTGAGAAGTTGAGAGAAATTAGAATCAAAATCTGATTCCTGAAGGTCATTTGGAGTAATGGGAAGAGAAACTAGGGGAAGAGCTATCTATTTTCTCATTCCCTCATTGCATTGCTTGCTTGTTTTATAGTTCAAAGTAGTGCAAGCTGAGCCTTCCATTTTTTCCTAGTGTTTCTCAAATTGTGAATTTCCCAAAATTATAGGGACCACCTGAAAAAATAATTGATACCATATTGCTCAGGATACACATCCTAATAATTCACTTTTGAGCTAATGTTTATCATTTCAAGTCCCTCTTTTAAATAAGCTAGTGCTTAATAAAACAAATACAGTTTTATTAATAAATAATAAAGAAAAATAAATAGAATATCAAACTAGTACTGTATATTAAAACCAGAAATATAAACACAACAAATTTGCACTTGTTGGCTCTTAATTTTCCATTAGAAAAATATATAGTATTATCCAAAATCATCATTTTACATCTAGCTGGGAATTAAAGTTCTAGTTTAAAAAAAATAAAATAAAAACTAAGCTAGGCAAATGAGGAACCCTGAAATGTGTCTGGGTTTGCCTAGCAAACTTTCCTAGAAAGACCATGGCATTGTTGAAATAACTGTGCTCCATAATATGACACTATTTACTTTACCCAAACAGGTAATTTTATTTTAAATGTTATTTAGTCTAAAATCCTTGGATAAAAAAAAATTGGCTAAAAAAAACCAAAGACCTTGTTTAGAATTAAGGCTAAAGTACGTTTTTTTACAAATCATCTTCCCCCTTCCCATCATGATGAGAAGTTCAGAAGGATCTATTTCTGTTTTAAATTAGCCAGAGTTTGTCTAAGCTCACCCATTTGTTCTAGTTCAGTCTAAATAATAAAAGGGAGGTGGGAGCTTTCAATCCCCTTATGCTTACATTGGCAAGAGAAGGACCAGCAAAAGAAAAAAGATTTTTACATGTAGTATTTTTGTATCCATAGCCACTCAGAGTCTGCATTTAAATAATAGTGCCTGAAGGTTCCTGTAGCTGCAGGCCTGATTAGGAGGACCTGCCTTACCTAATCGTTCAGGTTTGCAGGTGGTGAGAGAAGAGCAACCTGTGATTTGATTAGAACAGGCATGTGGTCATCATACCCCCGGGGAGCAAAGGGCATGCTGAAGCCTCTGGCTCATTCCCATTCCTTCAAACCATCACGTTTAGAATGGTTCAACTTACTCTCATCATTAGAAATCAGAAGACCTCCCTCCCATTAAATTAATTAGGAAAACCCTTCCAAAATAATGTGTAAAATCCGCATGAGATATTTTTATAAGAGAAACATCACAGAGCCACATTATGACAGGGAATGGTATGTTTCCAGTGTTTATATGAAATTGCTTTAATTAACCTAACTTCAAGGCATATTACAATGGTGTATAAAAAGCTACATTAAAAAAAGATACTGAATTTCTTCGGTAGACTTTGAATAATTGTTCCCTTTTATTTTTAGGGTGGAATTGCTTTTGTTGCTATAAAAGGAGCTTTCAAAGTCTACTTCAAACAGCAGCAATATTTGCGACAAGCTCATCGGAAAATTTTAAACTATCCTGAGCAAGAATAGTTTGAGCAAGAATAAATGACTACTATATGCCTGTCAGACTCTGGCAATCTCATTTCCTATATTCTGCAGCAATTCTATTATTTAGCTACAGGAGCAGAGATTGGATGAGATGCTGCTGCATTTTGTATCTCTCCCCTTTCCACATAGACTAATAAAAGACTTTATAATGTCAAGGTCAATTCTACTTAGTTGTTAAGCTTAAGAATGTAATTTGTTTTCATTATTGTATTTTTCTTTGTGGCGGGAGACATCTGAATCCATTTTCTGTGGGCATATATTGACTTTTTGTTTTTTTGAAACAGAAGCCTAACACTTATTAAGTTAATAAATTATGTGCAGACTGTACTGAAGTATCTTTTGTATGTTTATTGCGGTAAATGCATAATTCTTTGCTAGTCAACAGCTACCTGTCGAAATAGCCGACATTTCTAGAATGTTAAAAACTGAAAATGCCTGCTCTTAATAAGCACTTGGAATATTAACATGGGTTTGTTTTTTTTTAACAGTTTCATCAAATGGTTTTTAGTCTTTGCATTGTAAGCTGTACTATATATAAATGACTCTTATTTGCCACCTGTGAAATGAAGAAACTAAATCACAATCTGCTTGTAACCAAGTTGCAATATTGGGGTTATTACTTCGTACCAGTGTACTGTGGAATCCCAGCCAAATTGTGGGTATCATTAGTTCAAGATAAATATAGAAGCAAGGGTTCAAAACCAGGACTGATAACATGAAATTATATGTAGAAGTATTCTACCTATACTTCCAAAAGTGTTCAGGAAATTATAAACATTATAATACAAATTGTATTTATCAGTAGGGCTTTTTTAAATAGAAGTTGTTTTAATATTTTACTTCTGTGACATCTGGCACTTTACTGCTTCTATTTTGAGAATGCATTTTCTAAGTGTCTTTGATTTTGATGGAACCTCCCAGCAAATACTTGGAGTATTGGTACTAATTCTACATACGCACATAGAGAAGCCCTGTTCTAGTAAACAAAATGGGTTTCTTAGAACATAACAGAATTGAGATTGAGGAATGATACTTAAGCAACATTTTTCTTGACAAGAGAAATAAGGTTATCAGTGTGAAGTGATATTATAGCTATGTAATCAATTCCAAATCCTGGGTTTACTGGTGGCATTTGTGTCAGCAGTAGTAGGGAACTAGATAATGTTAGATTCAACAATGTGTAACATTCACTGCAAACAATAGAAACTTTTTCTTCTTTTTAAGAATTGATAAATAGTTCTTCACCAGAAATTAAGCAGACAAGAAAATGGGCTTCATGTTCGTTTGCAATAATGTATGTTAACAAAATACAATTTTCTGAAGTGAACATTATTTTAAATATAGAAATGTAATATTTTAAAAGTGTATAAAATGTATATAATGACCAACTAGTATTCCAGTATTAAAGTATGTGCAGAAATATAAAGTATAGGAGAATACTAGTTGTATCTTCCAACTACTGAAAAGAATTACAAGTTTAATTCAGTTGGACTCTGGAATTACACACACAGAGAGCTGTACTTGCAAATTGCTGGATTTCTTCAAGGATCTTCAGTGCTGTAAATACTTTGTAAAATTCTTTTGAAGAAAAGTCTTGTGAGTGTTATTTCCTGTATATACACTAGCCCTTTGCTACCTGCAGGATTTTTTTTTTTAAACACACACACTCATAATGTCAACTAATGCAGTGTGGATTTGAAATTTGTTCTGTAGTTAAACTTCAGAAACTATTCTGTATCTTCTGATCCAAATGTACTGTGAATAATGTGGAATTATTTTTAATTCAGTAGCAAAACCATTACTTTGTTATTGTGCAGTTTAAATGTTCTGTTGGTACAACTTGTGATCACATATTGGATGAGACTGAATAAATTTTTTTACATTTAAGTGTACAGTGTCTGAAGAGAGATGAAATGCAGAAAAGTTGATTATATTTTATTGGAGGGCATTAAATATTTAACAACAAAAATAGTAGCTTGAGAACCAAAGTTAACTCTGTTAATAAATAATCTACAACAAATTCCATCTTCCAAAACTATTTTACTGTTCACTATTTTACTTTTATGAGACAATCTTTAGATGCTTGGGATGCAAATATTCAGAATTAGGTTGAGTTTTTTGCCTTTATTATTCAGTGCAGATCCTGGGAACTTGCCACTATTTTCCTTAATTTTGAGATGGAGTGATGAGTTCTCCACTGTTCTCTTTCCCCATTTTTTATCCTTATGCTGCATGTCTGAAGTGAGCGAGCCTTCCACGTCTGGCTTCGGTGTACTTTGAACCATCCTTTGCTTGAGGCTGACCTACTTGCATAAGTGGAGGAACCAGCTTTATGCATACATCGAGGTGAGGGAAACAGGTTCAGTATAATCTTCCACTCAGTGGAATTGTTCAGTAACAAACTGCTGTGTTGTTAAGCAGTAGAGCTAGCCTATACGTTTGCTTGGCATTCAGGTAACTCATTTATACGAAGAAACCTTTGCAATTTTTTTTTTCTTACAGAGGATAGCTTGCTCCGACACATTTATGTGACTTTCTGAAAAAAATGCTTTTGTCAATTTCATCAAAAAAGACATTCTAAATACAAACAGTTGGACACTCTGCCCAATTCTGAGGTTTTCGCTGCTTACAATGTGTGTCCAGCTTGTACTCCATTATGTGTGGCACAACTTGCAGCTTAGCAATTATTCAGTGATGAGATGAAACAACTACTTTAAGTTTCATTGGCCGTTCTATTTGTTTCACTCGGGGGTTCCTAAATGTTTTGCCATCACACCTCCCTTTAGTGTCATCTTAATGCACACACCTCCCCTAAAAATCCAAACACCAAAATGAATACTAATGAACAATGAAAACCATACAATGAAACTTTGGGAAAGGTGGATTTCTTGTAACAATGTAACTAAAAGGTTCTTCACAGCTCCCCTAGATTCTGTCTGCACCTCCCCAAGGGAGGTACACCTCACAGTTTGGAAAACCCTGGTTTAAATGATGCACTTTAATTTTTGTGTGACCTTGCTTTGCCCTACTTGTTTTGAAGTATGTTTTATAAGAGAGAGAGAGTGCAAGCTGTCCAGTGTACCTTAATGGTAGGCCTGTGACTGGAATAATCAGCAAACGCTAATCACCCAAGTAACAAATTAAATTTATAGTGAAAGGAAAGCATTAACACTGGAACATGTCTCATCTGCATCATCTAACTTTGCCTGCTGCTGTAGTTAAGTCAACACTTGTTTTAATTAAGCTCCTCTGTAAATAATTGAGAGCAGTTATGCACATTCATCCTGACTGTATTATGAAGGGACTGTACATAGTCAAGGCAACATTATTGTAAAGTAATAATCATTTTTATAGAACAGCAGGAAGGCATTAGCAAAACAATTTTATGAGCGGTCTATGTCTTGCTGCATCAAAATGTTCAGATTGCAGTTTTTAAAGCTTCAGTTAATTAAAGGCTACTTAGAGAACAGGAGTTCCTAAATTGATGCCTTCTGCTGGTGCTTTTGTTCAAAAAGCATTTAGAAAGCGTTGCCTTCATTTCTGTCATCTTACCGTGAAGCAGGGATAGGCATAGTGATGCATGTGGTGTTAACATGTCCCTAGACACCTACCTTGGCATCACTCTGTGCCCTCCTACGCTAGTTTCAATATTGTTTTAGATTCTTAATTAAAACAAATTAACCGGGAAGCAGGCACACCACAGAGCAAACTGTCAGCTTCTGGCACATCTTAATTTCTAGATGGTCCCTAGACACTGTACATGTCCCCCACCATTATTATTTTTAATAATAATGGTGGAACAGCCCATCTTGTTTGGAAGTGTCCATGACTGGTAGAGAAAATGACAAAAGGGAAGTTGGGTACAAGCTTTCCTGAGGGAGGTGAAAGAGAAAATCTCACCAATTTGCCATCTGTTTAATGTGTATTTGGGGCTGGGCCTGCCTGTACGGTCAGCATTTTTATGAGAACTCTAAGTAGGTCATGGTGTGCCCCACAAACGATCAAATATTCCATTTTGGGACAAGCAACATCCAAACTACAAATAATAAGCAAAACAAAGGCAGGAAATGAAAGAGAATCATGGTTAAATAGTTTACACCAGTGTTTCTCAACCTTGGCAACTTTAAGATAGGTGGACTTCAACTCCCAGAATTCCCCAGCCAGCCATGCT